TACAACTACTGTCTTTTGTTGTTCTGAATCTCTATTAGTGTTTATGCTTGAATGAAAACAAAATAGTTGTATATGGATGTGTCTGCAATGTTAGTAGTAGAAGTTTATTGTAAGTTTATATCTTGTAAGTTTATTGTTGAACTAGTAGAAGTTACTACTAAACTAATTCTGCATATTTGTAAGGAAGTATTTATGTTTTACTGTTTGAATCTCGGTCCATGTAAGATCAAAGGTGAAAATTCCACTTTTTGGTTGAATTTCTAGGACAATGGTAGATGGTGAATTTAGTTATTGCAGTGCTTTGTAATGGTAGATGGTGAATTAAGTCAAAAACCGATTTTAGTTGAAAAACCGATTGTTAAAAAATGAATGTCCAGTTTTAAAAACTGGATTTTTATATTCACATCCGATTTTAAGTTGAAAACCGAATATGAACTCTAATACTGGATATAAAATATACAACTGGTTATAAAATTTGGTTATGGATATAATTGGTTTATAATTGGTTTTGTAAAAACAAAACCATATATATGGATTGGTTATGACAACCGGTTAAAATAAATGGTTTTGTTTTGGATGTGGATGGTTTTAGTGAATAAACCAACCATGAGCATCCCTAGAGACAAGGGCGCCTCCTCCATAGTCAAAGTGATTGCAGTATCGACAAGTTGGTCGACCTTAGAAGCAATATAAGAAACCTTGACAGCTAAGGTATGAGCATTGTTCAAAACAAGAGAAGTGGCCGGTGGAAGGGGTACTACAACCTTAATACCTTGAGTGTTATCAAGATCAAAGAAAATATACAACTTTTCCATATTATATGCAAAATACCACCACACATATCACACAATAAAACCTAAGCTTGAGTCCTCACCAAAAATATTTTTCCTTTTTTCTCAGCTAACCGCATTCAAAATGGCGTAGGTATCAATTAGCCTCTTCCTCACCTCGGTAGAAGGCACCTCACTAGGATCAGCCCTTCCTCATAGTCGAGACCTTGAAACCAAAAGTGAAGGTCTTACTTCATCGCCGCCTCATTATGGGAAAACAACTATGGTTTAGTGTGGTAGGAAAGAACGTCCGGACAAAAATGAGATGAAGTGGGAAGACATAACAAAGGCATAGCAAAAAGCGAGGTGGGCCTCTAGCGTACGGGGCTTCACCACCAAGAAGCACACCAAGAAATCACCTCAATCCTAGGTGAAAAGACCGAACCAAGGGTCGTCCAAGTGAAAGTTAATGAGCCATTGGTCGCAATAGTCATTCTAAGAAGTGCAAACTAGATTAAATATATTTAAAAATAAACTGAACGAGGGCTTTCCAGGCTTATGTTCGACACACAGCTGAAATACCCTTATGTATGCCTAAGACGTCGAATGAAGCTGAGAAGAGCAACTTTTAAATATTTCAGGATGACCACTTTGAAGTCACAGAGAAAATCAGTCGCAATCATATCCTTGTGAACAGATACTCATAAAGCGGGACCACAAAGTTGTCAAAGGAGTTGCATATCCTCTTCTCCGAACCCACTAGAAGAATCGACCAGTCCTGAGGATCATTGACCACGATGCCAATAGCCTCTATTGTTGCTTCGATATTAAGGATAGACGGGGTGCCTACTACCTCGATCTCCACCCAGATGTACTTCACCGTGTCGACCGACTCCATCAACATCAATCCTTTCTGAGCCATATGGTCGATCTTAGAATGCTCATTGAGCGTGATCCAAGACACTGCGTTTATACTAACTCTAAGATCCGAGTAGGCATTCACTTCAGCGTCACTAGGTTCACAATTATTGGTTCTCAGAAAAAGTTGAATGAAACTTTTATAGCGTTCTTTCATCTGCCGATTGACTTGTATTTCCTCCTTGGTTAAGATGAGTGGGGACATAGGGACCTTAGTACGATTTACCCCTCCATCGACATTTAATAAAAAGGCTTCTAATGAACCGAACAAAGAAGTTTCTTCCTCAAGGGAATCTCTATATACCCTTTATAAGTAAATATCGTCAGATAAAGATACGACTTATGGTTCCTGGTGATCATGATCAAGAGAAGGGAGATGAGAATCAGACATTGTCCCCATTCTTGAGGAAGAAGAAGTTTCGATTTCAGAATCATTCACTAAGTTAATTGTATTATCACTCATCCTGACTAAAAAATAATAAATGTTGAAGAAAAAGCTTAAGTTTTAGGTGTTACCTAGGATGTGAGATTGATGAAACAGAATAAATGAAGAAAGTAGATATTTTGATTACAGAGTTCGCATTGTTCAGATTAGTACTTTTAGGAAATAAGAAGAAAAAGCATTTAATAAGACAGTGAATACAAACAAACTTGAATGATAAGGGTTGCGAAAGTTTCCAAAACGCCCAACTCCTCCTATTTATAGGCGAGAACGGTTCAACGACCCATATCTGCTAAGGAAAGGAGATACAAAATCAACAGCTAGATTCCTCCTCAGAGATAAATGCAAACTCGAGTGCACTCAAGTGCACTATAAGTTATGTCATGCCCTAACTTGTCACATCAATGCATGTGTCAGAAGAAGGCGGTGAAACGTTTCAATGAAAAATATATATTTAATGCGCATGTTTCCCACTACGGCTTTAATTGACTCCAAACGTTTCAGTTCTAGCTCACCTTGGACAACATCTTGGAGGCCTGCCAAAATTGCTAAAGGCTTCCTTGTCTTACTCAATACCCGGAAAAGCCTTAGGAACAATTGTTATGGGTCGGCCAAAGGCCCAATTCATATCAAATCATTTCCAATCGACCTAAGGTATAAAAATCGGTTCACACATAAAGTAAGGTACATTTTATGATCTCCACTTTTAACTACATTCTTCTTGAACTTTGAATTGACTTTGGCGTCGGAATTTTAACCATGCAGGTCCACCCCACGTCGTCGTAACAAAGATCAACATCACTAGTTCAAGATATTCAGTTCACCAATTGTATCCATTTCTGGTTCCTGAACGAAACACTGTCCATACTCTTCTCACAAGTAACCCCCTTATTCGATTTTGGCGTCTTCTCTAATGCAACTTCCTTCATGTGCCTCCGAAAACTTTCAAAACTGAACTGCAGAGATTTACCCAACGTCTTCTCCAACATTGCAATCAATGTTCCTGGCATATTTTTATGGCGTTTTCCACATCGGCCAATGTATTATGTACATAGAGAGATCGCTCTTCAATGCTTCAAACTTAACTTCCATCTTACAAAATGTAATATGTTGTCTCTTTGGTGGCATTCACTGATTCCTCAATGAATCCTGTAGGTCAGACCAATTTGTTAAGAACTCAAAATAACAAGCAAGCAGAAAATACACAACACATTTAAAACCGAGAATTGATTATTTAATATTGAGAAATAGAAAATTGCAGAGAGGAAAATGACACTAATCTGACCAAAGCTATGTTTCTACAGAAAGATGGAGTTTCACATTCATCTCTTAAACAACTCAATTTTATTGAATAATCCTCTTAACCTTTCTTCTATTTTTTAAAAGTGAGACGTATACATTCAAGCTCTCACCTCAACTTCCTAACATAATTATACCTCAATTACCCCTTTTGTCCCTTTTAGAATAAACCCTCCATATCTTAGATCCTATGGATGTGTGATGCACAAGAGCTTCATTTAGATCCCTATTAGTTATGTGGTTCTTATCAATGCTCATTCTCCAAGATAAGAGGAGTATACTTGCAAAGACATTGTGATGTTAAAGTAGAGTAGGGTGTGAGCAGATAAGGAATAAGCAACTTGGTTGTTGAAATCATTCTTAAATAAGTGTTGCACATCAACGTACATAAATAACTAGATACATGGGAGTCCTTCGTGTGCGAAATGGTAGAAGCATATGAGTGCTTTTAGATTTATTTTATATTAGTTTGCATTTTTTTAATATAATGTCCCGTGGTCGTTTCTTTGTGTTGGGCTAGGCAAATTGAATCTATTTGCTCATTTTAAAGTAGACTTTCTTAATGTTTAATCTAAATCAATATAAGTTGGATTTCTTATTCTCATACCATTACAATTTGTAATAACCAAATTATAACTTATTTCATCTAAAATGGATAGCTTAAAGGATGACAAAAAGATACTTACTTGATGATATGCACACAAGTTAAATTCAAAGACAAAATCTGTATTTTCTTTTGGGTGTGGATTATCTCTCATGAAAAATTAACTAGAGGGAGTCTAGTGTCCATCTTTATCATTCAATCAGCTTTTAGTTAATATCATGCAGTGTGTGGTGACAAAAATAAAGGACAGAGAGAAACTGGGAAGGACAACTTTGTGATTTTAAAATAAAGTTTGGGTTTGTGGTTGAAAAATTAACTCACTGTACAACATGTAACAACCAATCTTTAATAATTCATATACAACTTGTGTCGAGTAACAAATTTATTGCATTTCACTTAAAAATCAAATCTGTAACATCCTCTGCTGCTGTTAAAAATTATATATTAAAATAACTCTACTCATAGTTTAAATTTACTTCTCTGAGTTGATGCTCTCAACTTGAAGTTGATCCTCTGCTTTCATTTATGTGGTAGAGGGTCGATCCACCGACTATCTGTACCGTTCATTCATATTCATTATGTTTCTGGTTGGAGCATCAAACAAAATTATCTTCAGAAAATTGACTGTCCTAGCAATTGCAAAGACTAATATCTTGAGTCGGGGAGTTCAAAGTCTTATACTATTTGTTCGAAAGAGTATATATATATATATATATATATATATATATATATATATATATATATATATATATATATATATATATATATATATATATATATATATATATATATATATATATATATATGCAAATATTCAAAAACTAGATTACTATTATCAACATATTTACATCAAAGAAAAGAAGCCCAGGTTAGTTTGATATATTCATCAAACATTTTCAAAATAACTAAAGTAATAATAAAAGAACATGAATCTAATTACAAGATGAACTCGTCATAGCAAAAATTCTCAATAAGGATGAACATTCCTACTCAAACCCAATCCATTTGTACTCGAAAAGAACCCAAACAACTCTTGCCTATACGGCAAGTAAGACTTGCGTTTATCACTTTCCTTCCTCGCTTTACTCATCATATAATGTTTCTCATGCGCCGACGGTGCCGGTTTCCCTTTCGCTACTTTCACCTTCCTTACCACCGCCTTTTTCGTCTCGCCGGAACTCGATTTCTCTACCTTCGCCGGATTCAAAAACACAAAAGCATCTTTACCGTCACTGTTACTTCTCAGCTTCGGATCGCGTAACTTCCATAATTTTGATGATCCCGTCGAGTTACTCTTCTTCGCTACTTTCGGATTCCACTCGCAAAACGTCCCTTCCGCCGCCGCGGAAGTCGACGATGTTGCTTTCCCGGAGGAAGACGGCGATTCAACGAAAATCTTCTTCACCGGCGAACGGTTTCCAGATTCGCTATCGTAATCGTCGGTGAAATGAAGATCCTGACCGAAAATAGGAAAAATAGGACGAATCTGACCGTTATCAAACACATCATCAGCGGAAATCGGTGAGCCATTAGGATCTGCGAAAACGAAACTAAACTCTTCATCATCATCATCGTCATCCTCTTCGTCTAGCACATCTTTCTCTTGCTTAACTTCGTTTTCGATTTTATCAATTTTGTCGTCTTCGATTTTCAGCTTGGAAAAGAAATCGTTTTCGAACTTTCCAGAAACCTCACTGAGAGATGAAGATGAACCTGAAATGGTTTGCATTATGAGTGAGAGCGTTTGCGTTTTGAGTTTGTTTTTTCTCAGTAACTGAAATGAAATAGTTATGATTTTTTGTTAGGTTGTTAAGAAGGTGGTTGGAGTTGAAGATTGGTGAGGTGTTAAATAAAGAAGGTTATTTGGTATTTATATATATGTGAGTTGAAGAGACCATTCAAAGTTTCAAACATGGGTTACTTTTGAAAGAAAGAAAAAGTTATTGTGAAAAAAAAAGGATTTTCCTTTTTTTGAATAGGATTCACACGTTTTGTGTGTTCAAACTGTTAACGCGGAGAAGCTTCACCACACCTTCGAGAAGGAAGTTCCTTAGTAATAACGGCTTGAAGTCAATATTTTAAAAAGGAAAATGGTTTTTTCGTGTAGGACAAGAGATAAATAAAAAGAGAAAATTAAAATTATTTGAAAAATTGCATCTAGAATGATATTGTCAGGATATTTAAATATGATTTACTAGTTGGTGCGTGAATTTAAAAAAGTATGGGCAGAGCTTGCGTCACGGGTTATTAATGGAAAAGGCAGTGGCTGGTCTCATTGATGACGGTAAATAAGCGTGGATCTATGAAGTTCAGATATTTTACAAAATTGAAGATTTATTCATTTCCAAAACGTATCAACTACCTATTGATACTCACTTATATTATTTTAAAAGTAAGGGTAATGCCAATTTGTGTCCCAAAGACACAAGTTAAGAGACCTAATTATAATAAATTTGTATTGAAAAAAATAATTTAAAAGTTAACTTTATACTTTATTAAAGTACACAATTTTCATGACAATATTATTTCTTAATTTAGTTCTTAAGAAATATTCTAAAAATATTAATATTTGGGACACAAGTTAGCATTATTCTAAAACTATTAATATTTTATTTATTTCAAAATATATTTTTCTAACCGAAATAGCATATTTTAAATATTAAAGTTATTTTTGAATATCACTAAAATAAAAAGGAGCATAAGGAAATAAAGCGGAATGAAACAATTTGAAATAAATATTTCATTCTATTATTTAAAAAATTTATGATAGAACAAAACAAATTTTTTATTTCGTTTAAATAAAAAATATATATATGATGGTAAATAATGAAATGAAATGAAATGCATATAACTTTGTTATGGATTGTTTCATCCGATTTTATAGATAATTCAAATAATAGAATGTCATCTCATTATATCCAATCCAAAGCTTAAAAGTATTCACATATCTAAAATATGTATTTCATATGCATGTAAGAAATTAATAAAAATATATTTGAATAAAAGTAATATGAGAGAAGAGATTCAATAAATTAATATTTAGTAATATTTATGTTCTGATTAACCTTAAATCATGTCACTGCAACTAAGCAGTATTATTCTTTGAAAAAGACATTCGTTGGATTGCGGTGTAAGAATGTTGTATATCAATTATCCTTAGTCTAAACTTCAAAATAATGTGAGAATATTTTGGTCAACTCGAAAAAGTAGCATTATGGTTGAGGCTAAGAGTTAGGGTGTGAGCATGTGGGTCTGACCCCTTCTTCTAGTGTCAATATTCTAGTTAACATCAAGTTTATGCCACTTAACTATGAAGTATTATTTGCTTTGGGTGTGAAAACCCTCATAGCTTTATTCTTTAGAAAATATGACTCGTTGGGTGTTAGCTGGACATTTCGACGCCAAGGTTTTGATTTAAATATGATGTAGCAAAAAGAAACATTATTGAAATATTTTTAACTTTAACAAGAGTGTTATTGGAGATTCCAGCCGAAATGATGGTCCTTTGTGAGAAGGATATGCTGAAATAAAATTTTGGGATATTTTTAAGTCTGGATGGCAATTTTGACGGAGGCTATATGAGGCTTGCGTTTGACGAAAATTTGAATTTCAAATAAGGATAATAACTGTCTTTTGTTCTTATCTGTTTCTTAGAAATGACACGTGTAAAGTTATGGCAAAGTGAAGACATGCAAGGTGAAACGTGTCATTTTCTAGAGAAATGACCGTTGATGACAATTATTTTTGACGTAGCATAAATATGGGTCTTAGTGCATAGTATTTTCGGATGTTCAATTGTTGTACAAATACTCACAAAATCACTCAAAGTATCTAAGTTAATTGAGAAAAGAGTTTTCGCTGAGAATGTATGTCTGAAACACCACATTTTATTTCAATTGAAAGTTATTTTCACTTTATCTTTTATTTCTTCATTGCAAATTTACTTTGAAGTTTTCCTTATTGAAATTTCTTAAATTCTGCAATTTACCTTTCAAAACTTTAAACATTTTTATTCAATTATGAGCATTATCGAAATATTCTATGACTTTCAGACTTAAAATTTTAACAACAACACATGTCCTAGGATTCACTGGTTGATCCTACAAGTAAACTAATTTTTTGGAGACCAGCGGTTGTTTACTAATTTTCACGGTAAACAAATTGGCACGCCCAGTGGGACAATGCTATTGTTAAATTGTTTTTTATTTAAATTTTTTCCATAAGTTCTTCATTTTTACAATCTCTCTAAACATCGTTTTATGAGACTAAGGAACGAAGAAAGACATAGGAGAAGTACGTAAGGAGGATGCTGAATCAAAATCCACCAAACAACTAAAATCCATCAAACAATAATGGAGAACCACCCCTTTCATCTTTGACAGGGGAAAAACGGTTTCAGCGTCTGTTTCTGAACCGATACAATATGTGGCGTCTACGACGCTTGTGCAGTCAGTTTCCCAAAGTGGACCAATTCTATCTTATGTAAGAACACAAGGTCCAAAAATAACTCCCCCTATAGTAGGGAGTAATTTATTCAGGTGTTACATGCCTGGATTTTCAATGCCTATAACTACTCGCGAACAGCCTTATAGCATGCCAACTTCAATGATGGCAAGTTTGCACATACAACGTCAGCGTACGCAGACCCAGTGGTGAACGCAACTTCGCCACTACAAGGATTCGGTTCAGGCATTAATAATTTGGGTCGAATTAGTCCGCCCTTAGGGACGGGATTTCCCATCCAAATGCCTAATCTTACCAATATTTCTACAGCGGTGATAAGGCAGCAAATTAACGAAAGCAATAATGAAATGGTCCGAATGCTTGCCCAACAAATAGGTGTACATTCAATCCTTTAATCCAAAATACTACCTAAACAAACCAACAAATGGCAACGCAAATGACGCATATTGCTGATTTCTTTGGTGTTCCACAACCCCCTCGACAACATCAAAGGGAATGGATGGTAGAAAATCCAGGGGTAGTTTTGGAAGAAGACCCCATCATTAACCAAGTCCAGCAAAATGGATGATGACGAGAAAACGCATCGGTTATATCGCTAGATTTCATTGACTTTTACCGCGCATTCACCGTTTTAACGCTCGATTCCTCGAGTTTTTCTTACTATTTTGCAGGTACATCGATATGTGAGGCCAAATCAAGAATTAAGAAGAAAAGAACAAAGAAACCACAAGAAATGAAGCAAGACAGAAGCCTGCATAAAACTCTGCATAATTTGTTACGGCCACGGTCGTTACAAGGGTGTCACGACCGTGACACCTTGCTTTGGACCCTCACGACCGTGAGGAAGTAGTCACGACCGTGACACTTGAAAACATAAAACAACGAGCGTGAAGACCTTGTCACGCCCGTGACAAGGATATAACTTGATTCTTTTGACTCAGACTACGTCAAAGCCACCAGTGAAGCCACTCCTCCTAGTAATTCTCACGTGAGGGAGACTTCTCCCACTTTCTGCTGCCACTTTCCAACATTTTCTCAACCACTTCAGCAAAGCCCAAGAAGCAAAAGACCCAGGACCAGCCCATTGGAAGCTCTATAAATAGGACCAGCTCAGGAGGATTCAGGGACAGACTTCAGTATCCAAATTTCCTGCGGAAGCTCTGCCGAATTACCTTACCATCAGAATTATTATTCCAGCATTTTATTTTCTGCCTTACTTATTTGTATCCAAACCAACCGTGTAACAATTTCCAACATTAGGGAATTGTTATACCTTTATTTGTTTCCAGCCTTCAGCATTTCGTTTTAATTTTTATTTCCGCCTACTCCAAGCCTTCCGGTCTGTGGAAGAAGGAGTCTACTCAGATATTTGTTAATCAGGTTTTTCAGTTATTGCAATTTAATTTATTTAATTTATTTATAATGTCTAATTATTTTTCTGCCATTAGTAAGCTAATAAATAACTCTGAGTCTGATTTAACCTCGATGAGTAGCTAAATACCTTAGGGCGGTATGTAGTTATAACTAACTTAACCGGTAAAATATAACCATGGGCTAAAATAATTAATCGCTTAACATTCTGGCTGATGCTTTTTAATTAAATTCGACCTTTTCGTTACGAGAGTAAGAAAAGGGTATTAGGTTGGGTCAAGACCACGAGAGTGTGAGATTTTAACCAGATAGCTAAAGTTAGGCATTTAAATTAAATACAGCGAGAGCGCTTTAAGATAAATTAGAATTATTTAGTTTCCAAAAATTACCTCTAAACACTTATGGGCTAGCGAGAGCAGGCATAGGGCTTTAGGGATAAGATCTGATTCAAGACCACGAGAGTGTGAGTTGAGGGTATTCGAACTAGTAATCTCTACCGAATAGATTAAGTGAACATCTTTATAAGCCTAGGTTAGATTGACCCACCTAAGTTAGTATAATTACATACCGACCGTTTTAGTATTATTTTATTAAAAACTTGAATTTAATTCCGCCTTCAATAGTCTTAGGAAACCAACAACAATCGTGACAACTATTCGCCTTAGCTAAACTAGAAGTTCATCTAGCACTAAGTAACGATAGAATCCCTGTGGATCGATAATCTTAAATATTACTTCGATAGGCTGTGCACTTGCAGTAAGATACCGCTAGACGCATAAGTAGACACGTCTTTAGCCCATCAAGTTTTTGGCGCCGTTGCCGGGGATTCCTTAATTTAGTTACTAGTGCACTTAGGTAGCATTGTCTAGACTAAGGTATCAACTATTTAATTTA